TTGGGGTTATTTTAGGATGATGGAAAATGAGTTTCAAGTATCTAACTTTCTTCGCAGGGTAGCTCAGGAAGGGTAGCTCAGGAAAAGGCCCAACCTGTGAGCCTCAACCCTGCAAAGCGTGCGCAATCCTTTTGTCAGTTAGTTACCACGAATAGTAATGATAGTAATGATAAGAATGGTCGACAGTAAAAGTAGTAATAGTAATAATAGCAGAGTTGCAGGGGCAGACATGGCAGCTCGACTCCTTGCTCTTCCCTGCCCCGTAATTTGTATCAATCTGAGGCGGTAGCGGAACCGACAGCAAAGGACCTTGGCAGCGAAGAATGCGGCGGGAAGGCCAGACTACACGCCCCTGTTGAGTTTTGCTACATCATGCATCGCCTTGTTCTTGGTCAATTAGCTTTCTGCTGCTTTGTTTGGACCACCCAGCGTCTAAGCAGTTCAGGAGGCGTTATCTAGGCCTTGAATTGCCTTGAGGCCTGGAACGCTTGGGTGACCATGCTCGCTTAATGCTGCATACCTGCAGTTGCAGGCCGAATAGCAAAAGACAGCAATCATCTTGCAGCAAAGCGGCTGTGAAAAAAGGTATCAGGCTCTTGACGACCTTGATTTTCCAAGCTTGCTGTGTCAGCCAGCTGATTTGCTACAACAAGGCCGTACGATGCAATCTTCAAAAGCACTTGGCGGTAGATGACTTGATCAGTGAAGCTAGGACGGATTCAGTGAAGCATGTGGCTGTGACTCAACAGGTGTGGATCCTTAACATCGATCGTGGGACAATCGCGAGGACCTCAGCTGTCGGACACACCTTTGTTCAAGGACAGTTCCAGGTGGGTANNNNTATAGGCCCATTACCCTTATACGAGCCTTATATGAGCCTTATATGGGGGTACCCACCTGGTAACTACCCACCTGAAACTGTCCCTGATTTGTCCTTCGACCATGCTTGACAACTCGCAGCCACAGGTTCTCATTGTCCCAGGCAGCTGGCATAGGTCAGCGTCACGCCTGAGCACATCCTTAGTCACGTTATTTCATCTGCCCATGCAGCAAAGCGAATTGGTACAGTAGGGAAACCTATATAGTGCCCTAAATAACCCTATATAGTCCCCTATATAACCCCTCTAAGGAGTTTAGACTACAGCTCACATGACCACACCCCGGAAGCGCAATGCATGCAGTTTCCCAAAAGCTCGGCCCTGACGGCACAAAAGTGTGATGGTAGTTCCCATAGTATGGGTTTAGGGTTTAGGGCTTAGGGTTTTGCCGCTTAGGGTTGTGGCTATATAGGGATAATGGAAAAGAACATGGAAACTACAAAGATTATAGGGATTGTAAACTTTGGTAGTTCCCCTTAATAGGGGGACCCCAAGATAGATCCCAGAATACTATCACCCTTGTTATGGGGGCCCCTAAACAGGTACCCCCACAATTTTGGGAAACCCCCTTATCAAGTGCGCGGCATGCTCATTGAGTTGAGCAGGTTCGCAACCATAAGTAACACTGATGGGAGCAGCAACCTGTCAACAGCGATGCTGCCAGCTGAAACTGTCAACGCATTAATAGTAATAGTAATAGTAACAGTAATAGTAATAGCAATAGTAATAGTAATAGTAGTATGATGGCTCAAGATTTCGGCTCAGGTCTGGGTGCCAGCACCGGGGGCGGGTTAGGTAAGTCCTAGGATACACTTGCGCTGGATCCACCGGACCCTGGCCAAAGCGCCTTTCGACCCTGGACTCGCCTACGGGGCGGCTTGCAATCCCGTGAATAGTAATATGGGTGGTTGTCAAA